GCAGGTTGCAGAGAGGGTTTAACCTGTGTCGGGACCAACATCGGCACATGAGCATGTGGGGATGAAGATGCTTGTGCTGGGAAGGACGTGACCAGCTGTGCTCCCATCTGCTTCGCTGCACGGAAAAAGAGGAAGGTGAAGCAGGAAGGAGGCGAGGATCCATGTAAATGGTAGCAGTTTGGGTTAGGATTTACAGTTCATTGGTGAATTGGAAATAAAATTGGATCTGTGTTTTTTACCAGGAGTGCAGGAGTACTGAGAGATAAATCACTCCTAGATGGAGACTTGATTTTTCTCTTCCCTCCTCCACCTGAAAGGTGGTCCAGCTGCAAAACAGTCCCTTTCAATTTATTTGCCAACATCAAAGGAAAAAGTAATTGTGAATTACGTATTCCAGCTTAGTAAATGTATCGCTAATTTATTAGCCTTGATATTTCTGTTGATGGCTTCTTAGTTTACTTCTCCAGAATGATATAGAGACTAAGTCACTTTAACAAAGATGATTAAAAAAACCCCCACAACATGAAAGCAACACATCATGTCTTCCCCCACTGTGTATGCTGCATACACGATAAACATTAAATATAATTACGACTGAACATACCTTTATTTTTTTCCTTCTCCACCCCTACACTGAACACCATCATTTCTCAGATACATAAACTGAATGTCTGACTCTCCATGAGTAGGAAATAGAGCAGGTTCTTTACTTTTTTAGACCTGTTGTTAATAGAGGTCTTGCAGGTTTGGCCACACATCAGAGCTATCTGTGTTCCTGAATTCTAGAAGAGGTGAAGAGGCCACTGTGTATCATGACTGACTCTGAATTTCTTCTCTCCCTTCTTTTAACGCTTCTAATACGTGTGGATATCTCAGGGTTTGGTGGTACCTGCCCTGAAAACCACTGGGTATGTGACACTGCTCTGTGTGTCATGGCAGGTAGTAATCACCATCCTTGATTTACCTGTTTTGGACCAGAACTTGATTTTGGGAGTTAGACACAGATTTTTCCCCAGCTGGATAGTGAGCCAGTGGATCCACTCTTTTAATTTTTGGCATTATTGCTTTGTCACAGAAGTATACATGAGAAAAAAATGAGATTGCCTTGTTCTGCTGCTAGCTGCTTCTCAAGAGCTGATCCTGCCAAACTTTTCCACAAGGAATTATTACATACGCTGTTCAAAGTACCTTCTGGACTTTAATGTGAAGGAAAACTTGCTCATGTATTTTTTTTTTTTAGTCTACAATTCCTTTTTAATTTGACGTTTTCTATAAAGTTGCCATGCTCAGTTAAAATTTTAACTGCTGGGCTGGACCATCATCTGGCATATAAAAGCTGAAGGTGTGGTTCATGTTTCTCTTCTAGAAAGGGAAAGGAAAAAACATCAGGGGGGGAAACACGCAGATGAGGAACATAAAAAGCATTATGGGCCATAAGCAGAACAGTGTGTGTGCTAACAGTTTGATGGCAGGAGTAGTGCACTGCATATTTCTTGGAAGCCCTTGTTTTTACACTGACTTAGAGACTCACATTAAAATAAAAAAATAGAATGGAGCACGCTCAGCTTTGTTGCAGCAAATGTGTGGTTTATGTACTGCGAGATCAGTGTAACAATGATACAGGCAATTTGCTGTCAGGGTTCCTTTTCTAATAGCTGTCCTTAGGAGGTATGTAAAATGCAAATAAAAATGCATTTTTATTTCTCTCTCCCCCTATTTTGCAATTTTTTTTTCCCTTAAAGTTTGTGTTTATATACAGAGTCTCATCCTGTGTGATCTCTGGCCTGTTAGACTGCAGCTTCCTTTGTAGCATGAACAATGCAAGTTCCAAAGACTTCTGGAAATTCAAAATAAGTATACTTTTTGTTTGTTTGTTTTCGTGGAGTGGGGCACAATCAGTGAAGTTCCGCCTCGAGTCCTGCGTGGTTTAGGAGAAGGGGATTTATTTACACCTCTGGGTTCAGTGTAGTTTGAATTCTCTTGGTTACATCATGTGATACTTTCTTTTTTTTTTATTTTTTTATTTCTTTTTTTATTTTTTTTTTGCAAACCAGAGAGACAAACTACAGCTGCGTTCATATAAACACTGAATAAATCAGCAAAGTGCTACTTGGATTCTTACATGTCTAAATAGGTTAGAAAATGTCATGGGTTACATTTGCTATTTACCAGCTGGAGGTTAATTTTTTTGAGTCACGCTGCTGAATCTGCATGTAGATACGAACTTGTGGACATCAGAGGCCATGAGATGTGATGCAATTGTGTTCCCTTTCGTGCTTGCCCATTTGTGTACTGCTGGCTTGTTCTAGCTGGCCTTGTTCTAGAAACCAGCAGATGGTTTGTAGGACATCTTCGCACTGTTGGGGCGGTGGATTTCAGCTGCTTGCAAGTTTTGTGATGTGTTTTCTCAGAAGACATGAAAGAGCCTCCAGTGCAGTCTCTTTGGGAGTGAGAACCTCTCTCACTTCATTCTCAGAGGCTGTGGTGGTGACCTGTCCCCCTGCTCTGCCGTAAGTGTTTTAGGATAAAAATGCTCATGCTCGAGGCTGGAAAAGACAGATTCTCTGTCTTGGTCCATTTCTGTATGGAAATCTCAGCCTTCAGAACTTCAGATATCTGGGATGTTATCTTATATTAGTTTCAGTGATAGAAGAAATGAAACATGCTTCTAATTTCTTTATAATATTCCCAAATAATGCAAGCAATATGTCTAGAAAATCTGTATTTTATGAAACAAAATTGGCAGTTAATCTAGGTTTTATCTTATTATTTCAAATACAGGGATTCACAGCTGAATAGCTTAAGCAAGTGTCGATGTACATAAAGCTCTGTGTTCAGGAGAGTTAACTTGAATGTTCTGGATGAAGCTTCTCCAAGTATCAGGATCCATAAATTATGTTTCAATATTCCTTGCCCTGATTTATTTCCTGTAAATCCATAGCCAAAGCAGAGCTTTGTTACGTTGGCCCAGCAAGCTGAACAGCAGATGAATAGATTGATTCATTTAGAGGTGATCACTTCCAAATGGAAAGGAATCTCACAAGTTTGCTAGGTAACATGAGAGAAAATAACACAGCTTTACAAAATCTGGATGGCAACATCTACTGCTTCTTTTTTCATGAAAATTGCGTTGCATTTGGCATTTATTGTGAGAGAGGAACATCAAATGAGTTTTGAAGTCCATCAGGAAGCAGATTAGGAAGCTGTGTGTGTGGATTCAGTCAAGAGTGGGCTGTATGGGATAAGGATGTTGGTCTGGGAGCTCTGCTGAGCTGCCATTTGCTGCTTAGTCCTACTTGAATAATGAGTAAGGAACATTCTGAGTTTGGCCTGTGGTATTAGACCTCTAATAAATAAAATGTGGACTGCCCTGAAAAAAAACATCCCGTGCAGAAGCCAAAGGGGTTGTTCAAGTTTGGGTGGGCTGCTGATGTCAGAGAGGAATGTGCCCAGTGGTTGTGGGGTGGAAAGCAGATTCGGGGAACTGGCTGGTGTTTGTGTTGGCTTGGTGCTCAGACATTCCTCCTCCTCCTCCTCCTCCTCACACCGGTTCCCAGCTGTGCTTCTGCCAGTCCCACCAGCGTTCCTGGGGGATTTCTTTTCCTCTCCCACAGATGCCATACAGAAATGGACAATCAGATGCTTGACCAAGCAAGTTCAGTGTCCTTCTGTGCATTCGCTTCGTTCCACTCGGGTTTATGCTCAGATGTGGTGACCTGCACGCTGTAGGTAGGGTCTGGGAATACAGAGGAGCGTTTAAAGAGGAGTAAAATAGGTTTGCTGGAATGTCGAGCTTTAGTTTACTCTCATCATTCATTTTAGTTTTTTTTTTTTGTTGCTGGTTTGTTGTTTTGTTTTTTTTTTTCCCCAATGTATCTTTTTGAAAACACAGCTCTCTGCACTTGGCCAGACCGACCCTAACTTTCATGGCCCAATAAATCAGTGTACCCTTAGCATCAGCTGTAAAATACCCCATTTCTCGGTTAAATAACTATCACTTTAAAGGCCTTGGAGCTGAAAGCCTTACAGTGTTTCATCTTTCTACCAAAAAAGTCTTCGTGTGCTTTGAACGTTAATAAGATAATTTACCACCTTACGGCAGATTCCTGGCTTTGCAGGTCAGGCTCTCCTCACGCAGGCACTCAGGTTACAAACCCTCAGTGGGCAGACAGCCTGGAAAGGAGGTCTCTGCAGAGCAAGGGGGGCCAGGCACAGCTTACTGGGCTGGTGTAGCCCTTGGGTGTCCTCTGCCACCTGCAGTCCTGACCAGCTGCTCTGGAAGATGCCTCCACCACGTGAAACTTGGCTCTGGTGGTGTTCTTGCTTCTGTCCCTGTGCAGCACCTCCAGAGGTGAATGAAACCAATCTGTGTCTCCACTGGCAAGAGGAGGGGTATTGATGGCGTTTGTCACCATGGCATAAATTTTCCTGTAAATCTCTAAATCCTCTGGTGTCAGTAAATTATGTAAATTATGCTTAAAACATACGAATCTTCTTGCTGAAATCAAGCTGCTTTATTCCTTATGCAGCCTTTAATTAGGAAGATGTGAAAAAAACCTTTTGTAAAAATGTTCTGACCTACTAGTGGCCTCTGCCCTTGAAAAAAACCCCTCCCTGGAACAGTCCTGGCACGCTTTGTTAGCTCAAATTCTGGCTTAAGTTTTTATTTCTTCCTTAAATCAGTCCCTGGTTTTTGGAGGGTATTGCCATCATCTGCTCCAGGGGTTGAGCAGAAGTAATTCAGCAGAGCCACATGTGTGTCCTGTGTAAAACATGAGAGGATTTCTGGGATGGTAAATGTTAATTGCCTGGAAGTATTTACATTATAGCTGGGAGGCATTGCTGCCGTGAAGGTGTGAAGATGGGAGACGACGCTGAAACGGTTGCACTCATTTATTTACCTGCTCTCTTGGTGTATTTTTTTTTTCCATGTGTGATTTTAAAATACTCCACTTGCAGGTAATTTATGACGCGTTAATTCAGAACCGTTCCGTTTGCAGGTGACCATGGCCCGGATCGGGATCAGCGAGAGCCGTTCCAAGGAGACGTGCGAGACGATCCTTTTCGCTCTCCGGATGGCCACGTGGAACCAGATCTTGGACCCCTGGGTGTACATCCTGCTCCGCAAGGCCGTGCTGAGGAACCTGTACAGGATCACGAGGGGCTGCTGCGGCGTGCACATCGTGAACCTGCACGTGTGGGAGCTCAGCTCCATCAAGAACTCCCTGAAGGTGGCAGCGATATCCGAGTCACCGAGTTCCAAACAGGTAAACCTGCAGCCCCTCAGCTCGATGGGACAGTGAAAGTTTTCGACACAGACTGTGAAGAGACGGTGGAGGCGGCACTTTACGGTGAATTCCAAGGCTCAGCGGTTTGGCACGTGTTTTGAATCGTGAGTGGTTTGCTGTTGTTGCTTACCGGTTTGATGTTGCTGTTCCAAGAGGTGCCCTTGAATGTTTTAATTCTTCCTGGAATTAAACTCCCTTCCAAACATGGGAGTTGAGTGATAAATCACCCCTTCCAGGTATTAAAGTGAACAGGGCTCCTTATAATCCTCCCTGCCAAACCCGTCGCCTTAGAAGGCTTCTTAAGACTGGATGCAAAAGTGATTTCCAAGGGGATTTTTAAAAGGAGTAGATTTTAACTACCAGAGGTAACCCCAAATCCTGTGCAGTCACTGCTTTCTAGGATAAAGTCCAATGTCCTTTCCATAAGGGTATTTGCTTCAAGGCATTGAATTTACCAGCTGTATATATAAAAGACGTTTTGCTTGTGCCTAGGTTATGAAATGAGCCACTTGGCTTGGTTCATTGGCTTGACCTCTTGATTATTCCGTGAATTTTTGGGAGAGCTGCAAACTTCATCAATGTAACTGTTCCTTTCAGCTCACTGACAAAACCCAGGGTTTCCCGTGGGAACACAGGAGCAGATCAGCTCAGCTCGCTTGGTTACATTTTCAGATTCATCCGTGAGTTTTTAGTCCCTTCAACAAATTTTGTTGGAACAAACAGGCATAAAGCAGTGGCTAGTCCGTGAAAATAGGTTTTCCCCTCCCTCCCAGAGCTGAAGGACAATTCTGGAAGTGTTCCCTTGGTGCATATACCGAAATGCTCACGTTGTACTTCTGCTTCACTTGTAAAAGGTCACGTGTGTCTGGTGAAAAATGTGTGTGACCAAACGAGCAGCTCTGCAGGGACTGCTCTGGGAGCAGGGCTGTGCTTGGGAAAGCTGAGTGCGCTCAGCTCTTGCAGGGTCTGTGTCTGAAGAGCTGAGGACATTTCAGTGAATTTGAAGGCACCAGAAGGTCTCCAAGGACTTCACGCAGAGGGCCCTTCACCTTTGATGCTGCTAAGAGAAGCTTGGGTTTTTTGGGGACTGTGCGCTGTTCAGAAGCAAAAGATGAGAGGTGGTGTTTTAGGATTAAAAGATCTGTTTTTATTTTTATCTACTTAACTTCAAATAGCTACATTAGTGAAGTGCTGTTATATTTGAACAAAGTGGTTAAAAACAGATTTCACCAAGGAGACAGTCTGAGGGACCAAAACTATTCACAAAGTACAAATTCTTGTTGTATGTGAGAATAGTTTAAAAGTCAGAAAATAATTAAAAAAAAAAAAGGTTTAAATATTTCAATTTTTTTTTTTTAAGCTATTTCCTTTTTGTTTTAAAAAAGTTGAAAAGTAAGTGGGTTAAATAACCCTGTAACGAAATGGCTTCATTTACCCCAAAGAATTTCTGTGTGTGATACTGATTTTCTCAGTCGTGGAGCTGATAAGCCGTGGACAGATTTGATGCTGGTGTAAAAAGTTCTGCACTGTTGCTTCTCGTGGGTTCTGCTGAAATCTGGAGGCGTTCAGTCACTGCTCAGTTTGGCTTTTTCGTTTCGTGGAGTGTGATGTCCGTGTACCTGTTGGTGTAAATTATTTGTTCCTCACGGGGGATTGTTGTTTCGGCAGCCGCAAAAAAAATGCTGGTCCGTAAATTGTTGAGATGTTTGATCGGTGAGTGAAGCTCGACGCTGTTGCTTTTTGTTATGTGAATAAACGTAGCCTGTGTGGTTCGTACTGGTGGGCTTGTGAAACAAAGAAAAAGTTTATATGTATATGTGATTTCTTATGTTTTTGTGTACTAATACGTGTCGAATGTAAATTGTAAAGCCTCATTAAAGTGATCAAACTGTGTCCTGAGAGTTGTGGTGTATTTTTGTGTAACAAAACAGAGATCTAAAGTTGTTAAAAATAATACTTAGGACAAAAAAAACCCCTCAGCCTGGATTGGAGCCAGGAGGGGATAGGAGGGGTTGGTGTTCCAACCCTTTGCTGGCAGGTGAGCAGCCCAGGGCAGCTGGTGGGCTGAGGCAGGAAAGGCCAAGTTCTGATGACCCCTTCTCAGGAAACGCAGATAGAAGTGGAGTTGAGGGAGTTGAGTGCTTGGGACAGAAGCATTTTAATCCAAATACCTGCCAACCTGTTTCACATCCACCGTGAAGCATCCTGAAAAAAAAAAAAAAAAAGCTGAGTTTTGCTGTTCATATTTTGTCTTGCTCAGTGATGTGATTGCCTGCAGAGGCAGCTCGGGGTACAGTCACCCTTGGAACTGTTACCACTGAAAGGGATTGGATTATCACCGTATTCCATCTCACAGGAGAGCCAGCAGCACGCTGTGCTGCAGGATTAGTTACATATTTTATGGAATAGGAGATTATTAAAAAAACCAAAATAGTGAGATGGTTTCACATTAGGATGTGAGTATTGCCCAGGCAGGGAGCAAAGGACACTCTGCTTAGCAATGTGCTGATGGTCCCTTCAGAGGCTGGGGAATGATGTGAGCAGTCATGAGCTGCCTATTTACTGCTGGCAATAATTAGTGCCTCCAGAGCAGGCAGGGGCAGTAAGGGCTCTGGGGAGGGGGAAGAAAGTGAATCTCATTTCTGACTAATGATCAAAGAAATCCTCAGGGTGGGAGAATATTTTAACCTAATTGGGATCTTAAGCAATGGCAGGCCATATAAGAGAGCACATTATCCTAAAATGAGGTCCTAGCCTGGGTGCAATAAACGTGCTGAAGCAAAGAAACCATCAGTAACCAGTTGCTCATCAGAGGGATTATGCAAATATCTGGAGTTTGTTACCTGGATACAGAGACAGAGAGCAAGGTTCGAGGCCTTTTAGATCTGATTCTTGAGACAAAGTGTCCACCTTGTGTGTTTATTTTCAGATATCTGTACAGAAGTGTTTTTATTAGTCCAGGCTGATGTGTTGGGAGCAATTTCAGGAATGGCAGGACGTACCAGTTTTGTAGCCACGGAGATCCTTTGGAACAAGATGTTGGGACCTTCTGGTTGTGCCAATCCGCTGCTCCAGGATGTTCCTGGTAACACAGCACTCCACTGAGTAACAGCATAGACTGGCATGAGATTTAATTCCCAAAACTTGGGTCCTGGGACGAGTGCACAAATCCCAAGGGAAGTTACAACACCTGTTGTGACTTTTGTTGCATCCTAAAGGCAACCCAGGTGCTCTCCAGTTCAAACTTCTGCAACCTGCCACCAGGAAAAATGGCAAAGCTGGTCTTTCACTTCAACAAACAATGACTCTCAATTAAGTCTTGCTGCATTATAGTGAGGGAAGTATTTAATCCTTGAACAGACATCGTTCTCCTGCTGAATGTGGGTTCATTTTGATACTTGCTAGGAAATTTTTAAATACCAGTAGGGTAATGCTGTGTAAAAAGTGAGATAAAAGAGGGGCTGATTAATATGAGCAGCTGCATTTTGTGTTCTTGAGATAACCCCGAGTTTATTATTAAGTGACGAGGAATAGCTGCAAGATAAAAAAATCAGTTATGAGTTCCAGTACCCCTTGGCCAGCGAGTACTGAGTGTCTGTCTCAGATGGGAAATATTGCACATTACTGCTAAGTTGATAGTTCAGTAACAACATGCCTTGTATTCTCATAAAAATGACTCTTCAAAGGTTTTGTTGCTCCTTTAACCAGCGGCTGCAGCGATGTGGGGAGCGGTGGTGACAGGTATTGTGTTGCCTTGAACACTGGAGTGGGTAAACAGTGGGAAAAATACCATATTTGATTCTCTGCGGAGATCAGCCACTGTCACAGCTTGGTTGCTGCTGATGATCCATCCAGCTGGATGGTTTGGACAGAGAGCTTTCTCTGCTGTAAATGCAGCAATTCACACTATCGAGCAAACTGCTGCTTCTCTACCAAAATGTTTGCTGTTGATTTTACTCAGGTGTTTTGTGAAACCCATGCCCTTGGTGGGAGGAGGTCGGGCTGGTGAGCAGGATCTGCACTTGCTGATTATTGTAGGATTCTTAAATGTAACTCACAGATTAATTAACTCATTAACTCATACCTTCTCCAGGCCTTTCCAAGCTTCCCAGTTATTCAGACTTATTAGGTCACAACTCTTTTGGTGAAGGCTGAAAGGCAAGGGCGGTTGCAGATCTTTCTCATCTGTTCCTGGTTCTTCCTTGGTAAGTAGGAATCCATGCTTTTTCTGGTTTTCACTTCACTTTATACTGTTTGAGATACCAAAACAAGATCTGCAGTCTGACCTTTACATAGCTGGTGTTCTGCTTTTTTTTGTTTGGTTGGTTTTGTTTGTTTTTTGGTTTTTTGTTTGTTTGTTTGTTTTTTGAGAGGAATGCCATAGGGAAAAAAATTCCATCCAGCTCTGGAGAAATGCAGTCGCCTGATGACTTTTTCGGTGATTTATGCTTAGAAGGGGTAGGCAGTGCAATCGAGGAATATACCTACTGGCAGAAACATGGGGATTTGATCAGAGAGCCTGAAAACCCTAAAACATTAGGTCTTAGGACAGTTTATTCATAAGAAACAAGCAAATTAATAACACACAAACATGCCAAACGTCTAGTCAATCACAATTGTTTGCTGTAATAGATCTGACCCTCCTCATGTGGGGGAAAAAAGGCTTCCTGTAAACATTCCAGCAGCTCCAAATGATGGTGCTTTCAGAACAAATCTATTCACTTGGCCCTTTTTTACTCTAAACAGGGTGACGTCTGGAGCGATTGGACAATGGTTAAACATCAAAGATATAATTTCAGAAGCAATTTAAAAAATGTGTTTATAATTAGGATAAATTAAAGAGCGACACAGATATATGAAGAAGGACTTTGTTTCTTAGCAACACATTCATGGAGTCTTTAGAAAAAAGTCCTGTGGTTGCAGGATTATAAACATGTATCTATCTAGCTGTTTAATTTCAGCACCATGGTTGCAAAATAAATACCAGCTACAGAAGTTTACAAAGATAAATCCAT